CAGTGAGTGAGTGCACAGTGAGAGGAGCGATGACGTGGAGGAAAAGGACCAACACAGACAGACAGCGAAGTAATCAATGGGATTGAACTCGGCCCCGATTGATGGGACGAGTCGGACACAATGGCACAAACGGAGCTCATCATCCTCATCATCATCATTCTAGCTTCTCTGGTGGCACTAAAAGTTGATGGACACGGAGGTAGTTGAACAGGCGAGAAGTTATGAGATCATGAAATTCTTTTCAGAAATGTGAATGTCTGTTTCTTTCTTTTTTTTTTTTTTTTTTTTTTTAAAGTCAAGTGTAGTTTTTAGCTTCTAAAGCCAGAGAGCCTTCTGTTTGTTGGTTGGTTGGTTGATGCGTGTTTATATGGAGAGATAATGGTAAACGTGTGTATGTATGTGTATCCTGCTCTCTTCATTTTGTCTGTTTCTATGCCCAGTACAGGCTCTACAACTCTCGTAATTGCATTATTACTGTATGTGCATATATATATATACATAACAGGGATCCTGTATTTTTATATATGCATCTACATGAGTTGATTGATGCATCTTAAGATCATGTTGTTCTTTACAGTGTTTGCTGTCAGCCAACTCTTGATGTTTTGCATTTTGGTTTTTTTCTCCCTTTTTTGTGTTGTAGCTAAACGAGTTATCACCAAGGCAACAAGTAGACCTTAAAATGAATTGGTTTAATATGGAGGAAGCCGTCAAATTATGTATCATATTCATGATACTAAATGTTTACTTTGTATTTTTTTTTTGCATACTGACATTGAAAATAAAAGCAAAATATCAGTGTTAAAATAGAATGTATAACATTTATCCTGTATCAGTTATCATAAAATAAACAACCTAGTTGTGACCTTCTTAGATGTTGACTGGCAGGTTGTTTGTTGGCTTGAGAAAAGTTTAACATGCATTTGCAATATGTTTATAGCAAAAAAATAGAAACTAGAGCCATAGAAGACCATTATAAAGACCATAGACGACGGATCTCTGACACACTATCAAAAAAACAAAATTACAGCTGACACGATTAATAGAATACTGATCTACAGAAAGTGAATCGGCAACAATTTTGTTAATCTTATCATTTCCTTTACTTTTAAAATGGAAATGGGAGGAAGTTGCTGTTTCCGGCTAATGAAATGTTAGTTTGGACTGTTGATGAAACAAAAGAGTCAAACGTTGTCACCTTGTGCTCTGGAAGATGGAGATATTTTTCACAATTGTCCAATATTTTATAGACCAATCGAATGTGCTTAATCAAGAAATATATCTTTATTTTAAGCCCTAAACTAGAAATGAGCTCCGTTAAATAGGATTTATTGCAGGGCTGTTGTGCTGGGTTGAATTTAATTCAACAAGTAACAAGTACTTAAGTCTACATTTAAGTGGAGTTGCCCAGTTGTCATGCAGTTGTACATTTAAAAAAAAACAAAAAAAAACGGAGCACTTTTAGGTCGTCTCTGGTTTACAAATTGGGATTTAGATTATATTTAGATTTATTGAGGCAAACTTAATCTGCTGAGAGATGTGATGCCATTAAAAGTTCCAACTGTGTTCACCTTTTTAATTAAGTAAGGGCCTCCGCTCCGTTAACAACTACTGGCACACTGAACATAACGGCATCAGACTCGGTCACTGGAACAAAAGGAAAGCTACTCATCTAATCCGTAATAATGAAAGAAAATCATAGTATAGTATGTCATAGAAATGTAATTTAAAGTCATATTATATTTTTTCATAAAAGCGTCATAAAATTACTTTTTTGATTTTTTTTTTTAACATGATTGCTTTTAAAATGTTTTAAAAACATACTATACTATGACTTGTTTACACTTTTTTATGACATAGTATAGTGACTTTTTAAAATGTTTTTTTGACTTATGACATACTAAACTATGACTTGTTCATGACCTACTATAGTATGATCTTTTCGTGGCATACGATCATTTTTTATTGACTACTACGCGAAGGCAATTTTATGACTTTCTTGAGAAATACTTTACGATGACATTTTTATTGCTCTTTATGTATTTTATTGTAATGACACTTTACTGTTACTTTTTGACTAACTTTATGACAACATAGTTGTAATCTGCGTCTGTATAGTTTTTGAGTTATTTTATGACTTTTTAGATATTGCATTTTTATGACGGACTTTAGACATTTCTTTTTACTTTTTCACGCCTTTTTATGACATTCTCTGGTGTGGCATTTTTAACTTTTTCATCTCAAACTATACAATGACTTTTTTTTACTTGTTTTTAATTACTATACAATGTTTATATGACTTCTCTTTGACGAAATATACTATGACTTTTTTATAACTTTAATATAACATACTATACCGTAACTTTTTCTAACATACTCTCCTGTGACTTTCTGACATTTTCAGGTCTTACTTTACTACGGTCATCATGTCTCCAATCAGGTCAGCAAGATCATTGGACACAAACAACTCCAACTCCAGACTTTATTTTCTCATTCCACAGACAAGAAGGCGATCTCAATCTGCAATGGTCCCAGCCATCCTCTCAACCCAGCATTTCAGTTGCTGCCACCGAGCCTCAGCCAGGATGGCCCGGAAGAACAACTCCAAGAAATCCTTCATTTCATCAGCCGTGAACATTCTCACCAAGAGCCTGTTCAAATGGGTCCCCTTGGAATTCATTCACTCACTCACTCACTCCGTCTCTCTCTCTCTCTCACACACACACACACACACACACACACACCCCTTACGGTAACCCTTCCCCTAAGCCCCCTCCCAAGCATCAAGGCTGCTTCTTAGAACATTGTTACCAACACTGTCACTTATTTTAGTGTATATTTATTGTAATACTGCAGAGTATCATCTTCTGTTGTTCTGTTTTAATGCACTACATACTAGTGGGAGAACAATCCTTTTATAATAATTTCCACTTAGTCAATTTAAGACTTTATGAATAATTGTTGTGCACTGTTGTGTGTGTATGTTGAGTATTGTTGTGTATGGTGTGTGTTGTCTTATGTGCCAGTGCCAAAGACAAATTTAATTTCATGTAAATATAATGGACAATAAAGTCATCTCAACCTGAATAACACTTTATGACAAACTATACTTTGACTTTTTTAATGATGTTTTGTTGACCTTTAATGGCAGACTATACAATGACTTTTCATGTAAAAATAAACTATTACTTAAAAAAAAAAAAAAAAAACACTGACTTTTTAAACGTACTAAAATATAACTTTTAATTACTTTTTTCAACATAAGTTGTGCTACCCAGGTCAGACGCACCTGGGGTACATCCCAATTCTTAGTTGCATCCACGTTTCCCTCACTTGCATCTTCTATTCCTTGCGTCTTAGTCCCTCCCACCGGGGATGCAAGGAAACCATGCGAGAGAGGAATCGAGGAAATATGTTTTAAGAGACATGAGACGTCCTTTCCTCTGAAGCGTCAAGTGAAGCCACGTCTGTCTGATGAGGCGGCCGCTGATCACAGCTGGATCAGCTGTCAGTCGGCTTTAACAGCTGGAGAGACTTATGACAGAGTTGTGTCTGTAATACATGATCACTGTACTCAATAATAGTAACTAATAATACTAATAACTAATAAAGACAGTCATCACTGTAGAGATGTGTTCTCTCTGTAGCCTGTTACCTCTAACTGTCCCGTTTATAAGCGCAGGATCGATTTCTACCGGCGGAATAAGTTTGTCATTTATTCATTATTTGTATGTTTGTAAATTCTGATTGTGACGTCATTAATTAACCCAGAATATGATTAAGGCAGCTCATAAATACTGGAATTCATTTATTAGACTCCATGTTTCAGGTTAAACTTAAATGATAAATCTCATCAAACCCGACACTCAGGAATGATCAGCCTCACGTGACTGAATGAAATGATGATAAATAATGTAAAAAGTGTTTCGTCTCTCCAGTTCCCTCTGACTTTAATTGTATCCATAATACAAGTTATTGAGGGAAATATCAGATCATGAAAAGACAAATCTTTCTAATAAATGAAGAAAGTTGTTTGTGGTCCTTTTGTTGTTCAGACCAACAATGAACATCTATTTAAGCCAGATGGTGAATCAGAAAATTAATCAAATGTAAAACTTGAGTTTAATCTTTGATCTGTCTTCACTCTGGTATGAAACTCCAGTGATATTTAGAAAATTCTGAACAGTCCGATCAGCTGCAGCGTCCAATCACATAACTGATGAACAAAGAGGGGGTGTGTCGGCCGTTAAAACACTTCCTGGAAGGCTGTTCTCGTGCATCCTCGCTCATGGCTCCTCAGAGATCCCTCCTCGATCCTCAGATCAGAAATAAGAGCTTTGGGACGGCCGTCAATATGGCGGAGCAAGGCAAGGCAAGACAAGGCAAGTTTATTTGTATAGCACATTTCAACAACAAGGTAATTCAAAGTGCTTCACATAAAACCATAATAAGTCATTAAAAAGTCATAGGGTACCATAAAAAAGTAATTAAAAGTCGTAATTTAATATTATTAAAGTCATAGTATAGTATATCATCAGAATAATAAGTCTTTAAAATTCAATATCTTAATACACTTGGCGAAAAAACAGCGTAAAACTGTAGACCCTAAGTGTCTGTCAGGTTAGGAATGACAACTTGTAGAAAGGTACTTTAAGGGGCTGAAGGAGTAAATAATCTACACAGAAGAATTCTGACAGACATTAAGAACAATAAAGCAATTGGAAGAGGAAACAGCAACACCCCAACCGCCACAGCAAATAATTGTGAGCTAAAGGAATAAGCTGTACAAATACGTGTTAATGTACATGTACATGTATATACAAAACTGCATTAAAGGCGGAGAAACTCACTCAGCAAAGCTTCTTGTCCACCAAGGAGGCCAGAGACATCCGCGAGACCCAAAACTAGAATCTGTGAGAAACTCAACGATTAGCAGAGACTGGAGCAGCAGAAACTTAGTATATTAGTAAAAGAGGAAAGAAAGAGTCAAGAGGCAGAGCGAGTTTTAAAAATAATCGTGGTTTATAAAACCCAGATATGACAGGATCACCAAAGTGTATACAGAAATACAAACACCATCAGGAAAACCATCATAGAACGGTGTTATACAATCGACATGTACAAACTACTCTGTAAAAGGGATTCAGGGGTGGATGGGTCAGACATTTTCCTTTCTTTATGTCTCTTAAAATCACATTTAGCCACAATGTATTTATTCTATTCTATTTTTTTTTTTTTTGTATCTCATCAAACATCCATCTACCAAACTACAGGTACTATCACGTTCAGCTAGATTAGAGAAAGGGTACGAACAACATCAAGAGACGGAGAGGGTGGGGTCGACACATATCAAGCACTTTAACATCATGGGGGTGTCAGCAAGCAGTGGAAACAAAATCACCCATGAGAAGAATTGGATGGAAGGGCTGAGGATCATCTCATCAAACACAAACTGTACAAAATAACCCTGTTTTTGTTTCTGTCTCTGGGTTACACACACTGAACATCTGTGAACGGACACCAGCCACTAAAACATTTATTTTTCTCAAAGAGAAGCATCTTAAAAAAATGCTTAAAATGAAGATCCAGCATCTGTTTGTGAGCTAATTCAAGAGGAACTCATGCGGATCTGGGATCAGTTTAACAGTATCTTGTCATGGTGTGGGTCTGTCCCTCTGCCCTATATTATGTCAAAGTGCTTCCGTCAGCAGGGCAGTTCACAACAACAGATGGAACGTCCACAATATCTTCATGCACATTCACAAATGTACCAACAGTTTTACAGTTTCAGGACACAGTAATCTGCCCCTGACACCTCCCCCTTAAGCATTGAAAGAAGAGGGAATCACCTACAAGATACAACCAATCACATTCTCCAGTTCTATGGATTTTTTTATACAAACACATTGTCAACAGATTTACACATAAAAAGGAGTGCAGGATCGTGATCAATCAAAAACAAAAGCTCCTAATCACCTAAAAATACTGCTTGTCTTGGAGCAATAATGGCAACGTATGAACTCAATCATTGTCACAGTAGCAACAGTGATTGCAAATATACACATGTCAAATAAATTAAGACCTATGTACAATGTAAAACTAAAGCAGCATGCAGGCAAGACAACAGAGCCTTTTTACAAAACTGTCTGCTGTAGAGTTGTGCTCTCCGACACAAGAGAGAGGTGCAATGTGGGCTGTGTGTACGTGCGTGTGTGTGTGTCATGTTTCATGCCTGTAGACAGTTATGGCATGTATCCAGTGTATTTAAATGAACCGGGAAGCTACCCATCTTCTACATATTTAACATATTTTTAAAAAAACTTTCTAGCTTTCTAGTTCACATTAAGCTCATTGCACATAGAAGCTTTTCGGTCTTTTAGCCGCGACAGGAAAAACAAACGGGAAGAAACAGGACTTTCTGAAACACATTTGTCTTGTGGCTCTCTGGGCTTCGTCTCATGACTGGCTGGCGGTGAGGCAATGTAGCCCGAGGGAGGAACAGCAGAACAGAGTGAGGGGGTCAAACAGGAAGAGAAAGTGAAAGACACAAACCAGCATTAACATTAGCATCCTTTCTCTGAAAACCAGGGCGCCTTTACCAGCAGCAGCACCACACTTTACAATGATAACCAACAGTTAGTGTGAGCTGCTGGCTTGAAAATAAGCCGAGGGAGTAAATAGTAGACGTCAGATGTACAGCACATTCTTCCTGGTTATTAATAACTTTCCGTACCTGTGATCAGCAGTTTACATTTGATCTAACAAATCACAACACTTGAAAACATTTTTTTTAAAGTGCTAAAATGGCACATTAAACCGTAGAGACAAACAAACAAACAACATGTCGCTGAATGTGGTGAAACCTGACTGATTCAGAGCTGGACAGGAGGTGTGAAACATGTCACAGCTGATAGATATCTACTGTTTAAAAGCACTGAAAGAGCTTTTAAACAGTGGTGCCAGATTTGACTGCCACAAAGTAACTCAATGAGATCATCAAGGTGCCCACTTTTTTTGTTTAAAGGTTTTTAGAGGTTTAAACGTCCATGTGCATTATGTTTTATGATAATTTGTGTGAAACCAAATCAAAAGAGGCCGAATCATTTGGTTGTAGTCTAAGTTTTTGCTGGTGAAAACCACCCATATGGTACAAAAGGAACCCAAATTATTTAGAGCCACCCAAAAACATATTTATACGCATAATTAAATATATAAGTTGCTCAATTGGGTACAAAACCGACCAATACTGAGCTTTCGTCAGAGAGCTCAGGATTTCCGGTGACCATATAAAGAGTGTTGCGATACACCAGTGCTTCTCAAACTGTTTCTGTCATGCGCCATTTTGAAAGGTGTGTCCTGATTTTCTAGACTTGTTGGCATCAGAGCTCTTTTGTTTGGTTATTGTAACCTCGTTAGATCGATTGATTTCCCCCCCCCTGGTCCCCCTCCCAGTTTGAGAGCCACTGGCATATACACTTTGACTCTAACTATTTAACTGAATATTTGAAAGGGTACGTCACATCACTTTTGACACACTACTCATATTACTGGGATTTTTAGGTTGAATGGACACATTCACAAAATAAAGCTTTGGTAGTTAATGCAAAGAATAGCAGTGCATGCACATATATTGTATCTAATAGGGCACTTTAAGATGACATGACACGATGATTCACAAGTCGGTGTAGCATTAATTTTAGGTCGGGGGTAAATTGAGGTCTAAATATGAGCTTATAAAAACATGGCACAAGTCTAACTAAGAAAAACATTCCAAACCTTATAAAATACATAAACAATCATCAGCTGGATGCTCAACTAGTCGCAATAGTATAAACAACACATGTAGAAGTACTACAACAGAGTAATAATGCACATCAAAATATATTAAATATATTACAAAGCAACTTCACAAACTAGAAATGTTTGAATCAAAACATCTCTTTTGGTGTAAAAGTTTTTTTTTCTTCATTGTTTTGTGTATTAAATGCACTTTTCCTGCAAATGCCTCAAGGTTGGGATTTGACACTGAAGTTATTACAACTCAACCAAAAATAAAGTCGGAGTATAAAAAGAACTAGAAAATGCATTTCCTGCAGAAAACGCGTTGGAAACAAGTTTGAGACCAGTTGAATTGTTTTGATATTCTGTGATGTCTTTTGATTGGCTTGTCTTCTCCCTGTTGATCCTATTGCAGTTAAAAAGGATTGTAAACAGTCATTGATGCAGCTTCTCTGAAATAAATCCAGGAAAAGTAAAGAAAAAAACCTAAAGAAACACATATCTCAAAGTAAAAGTCTTTTTAAAGAAGAGGAGGATAATCCCAGGGCAGTGTGGTCTTTGTTTCTACTTATGTGCAGAAGATTTCCCTTGAAGCCTGTCTATCCATCTGCCTGTCTGTCTGTCTGTCTGTCACAAGCTCTCTCCTCAACTGTAGCTATTAAACTATGTTTGTGCTTCATCAGCAGGTTTATCTTTATGTGTGTTTCTGCATTAAAGTGTGTATTGATTGTGTTTGTCTATACTTATAAAGACCAAATATACTCACAGGGATGTAAAGATGAGGTCTATTGTCCAAAGTGAGGACCATGTGAGGTCCTCACTGCTTTAAAGGGTTAGACTGAGGGTCACTACTCTTTTATTGTTATAAGGGAGAAGGGTTGAGGGTTGGGTGTTAGTGAGTGAGGTCCTTATAAGTATAGTATGTATGTGTTTGTGTGTGTGACGTTGTGAACTCAGCTGAAGGCCTCATCATCCGTGTCTTCAATTAGCACCTTGGTGTCCTTTTTTGATCTAGGAGAGGATTGAAAATATGATCTTATTATTATGTTTAATTTCATTCTATCATTTCAACAGATATGTTAATGTTGTTTTATGTTTTACACAACTTGGACAACAATGGCAACTGCATCATTTGATGTATTGTATTTTATAAAGTAAATCGTAAATAGTTTAATGTTGTCAGAAAACTAAACCGCTTCAAAACCGTTTTTTAGCATCTGTATCTAGTTATTGTAGTGTGACACAGCGACAGCAAAGATGAGAAATGTAAAAATTTCTTCAAGCTATTTTTTGTCGAGAGTAATTTGTACATTTTTACCTCGTCTGTGTTTATAAATCAAACTTAAAATAAATATGTATGAGTGTACTGTATGAGCCTGATATCAAGCGTTCATGTTGTTTCTTACTGTGAGGAGGACAGCAGGGGGCGTCGGAGAGAGAGGCTGTAGGACCTCTTACAGGTCTTCTTGCCTGAACGGTTCCGGACGCCTTCGTCCTGGTCCATCATCTGCTCGAGCAGCGTCTGGTCATCCGCGTTGAGTGGCGCCACGGAGATATCCCTCACAGCACGAAACTCACCACAGTTATTCAGGTGCTCGTTCTCCAGACGGAAGAAGTTCCACACAAAACGCCTGCAGAGAGAGTAAGATGGTGAGTAGGACGAACCTGACGCTAAGGGTGAAAATGTTTTAGAATTCAGTGTGGGGCCTGATTGGGATGAGTGGTTTGAAAGAGCACCATGTGACACCATGTGAAAAAAAAGTTGTCATGTAATTGAGACCCACCTGAAGACCTCGAGGGGAGCCAGCACGGTGGCAACAATGTCGCCCACAGAGTGGATCTTGGTCGTTGTGGTCAGAGAGATCTGGATCGTCCAGGCAAAACGCAGGATCACATCTTCTATGATGGCACAGTAGTAGTAGGCCTGGACGCAGGTGAGACAGGATTAGGGTAACTGTGTGTGTGTGTGTGTGTGTGTGTGTGTGTGTGTGTGTGTGTGTCATTTACACTATCAGACTCTACCTTGTGTGGGTAAACTATTTCTTCTCTGAGGAAGGTGTTTTCTCCGGCTCCGCGGTCAAAGAGTCCCCAGTCCATGCGCAGATCCCAGATCAGTGTGTACAGGGAGCTGATAGTGGAGAATACGATCAGCAGGTAGAAGAACACGTCGGCGTCCGTGTGTCCTTGCTCTGGAATAAACACACAAACACAAGTGATTGCAAATAACATAATTTAAAGATCTGGTACAAAAGGAACTGTATTTATTTTCTTGAATGAAGGTTTACGAACACCTCACTGAAGCGAGTCAACTTTGCAACAATACTTTGACCACTAGAGGGAGCCCTCCTGTCACGAATGCGCTAGCAAGTAATGAATAGCCTGAGGACTATTAAGTTCAGTTTCATTTTCACTCATACATCCAAACATCTTTCTCCAAATGGAAGATGACCACACATCAAATGACACGCTGTTAGCTTGCTTATCCCAATACAGTTTGTGTTCTAACTTTAATATGCAGAGATATTTACATCAATCTACAGTTTAATTCAATATCCACTTAATTTATTTACTCTGTTATCAAATGTACTGTATAGTGCACTAGAGGTATGTTTTTCTCTTAGTGTCCCAGTGCTGTAAAAGAGAAGAATAAATGTCAGTTACATCTTTCTGTCCCACACAGCGTGTCCTACTGCTAATATCCAAACCAAGACTCAGCACTTTATTGGCTGAGAAAACGTCTGTACTTCTCAAAAGGGTAAGAACTTAGATCAACTTTCACTGCAGTAACAGTAACTGTTAAGTTATTGATTAATAACTATTGTTGAAGAAAATCATCATATAACTTAAGATTGAACTGAACACATTTGGGTTCACAAGTAAACAGTTTATATAACTTGTTATGTTGAACACATTCGGTTTCACAAAAGCATTCTTAGGAAGTGATTAGGGCGCGCCAGACAAATTGTAATCTATCGCTCCAATTTGTATCAAAACATTTCCCGTACGCAAATCGTATGTTCTGCCAAAAGGTTATCTTGACCCAAACAAAGTCATGAGAGCATGACATAGTGGAGAGACCAGATGTGTTTTGTTTGTGGTTCAAGCAACTGGTTTGATTGCGGAGAGTGACTAAAGGGGGGGGGGACTATAAAATTTGGACTATAAAAGTAATCTGTGAAAAGTAATACATTGGATTTGTTTGGGTTTTGCTGAACTTGTTGTATGTTGGCTTGTTCTTATTAAAACACTTCCCGCTGGGTCGCAACTTCAGTTCGCCGTCTCTTCTCGTCATTTTGCCACAACGCTATATGATAAATTACAAGTCTGCTGGTTCCAATAGAGTCATTTCATTTCTGTTCAATCTAGCATCATGTTTGCTACGCTTCATCATAAACAGGTTTAATAATTTGTTGACAAAATACTACAGTGGTAGACTGAACATGTTGACTGTAATGATAATTATTATCACTATTTGTTGACCTGCCCACAGCTGATGAGTATTTAACGAGCTCTAAACTAGTTTACAGTTGTTCGATGTACTGTATAATGTCAGAGTGGGATTAGCCGAGCTCAGCAGTCTGCGTGTGTTTACAGGATGTGATTTGCTTGTTCCTCAGTGGGCGTTGATACATAAATCAGCACCCAGTGGCCTAACACAGTGACTCACACAGACAGAGACAGCAGCCACCAGACAGAGACCGGGCTCGTTCCCATTTGTCAAAGTCACCGCTCCTTCCTGCTATCAGCCAAAGAGACGCCAGGGAGCAGAGCGGGGACATTTCTAACGGAGAGTTACTGCTGTGCTGCTCTGTTAACTGCTGCTCCCATTGTGCTGTTTGCTTCTTCAGCTGAGCGATGGGATGGAAGTAGTCCCTACGGCCACACTGAGATTTCCCAGCCGTAGATTATACTTAGTCCAGGATTTCCCAGCCGTAGATTATACTTAGTCCAGGATTTCCCAGCCGTAGATTATACTTAGTCCAGGACAATAGACTCTTTTCACAGGAGAATATCCACTGATGTGAGTTTCTCAGCTTGTAAAGTGTGCAAGTACTTAACCCTTCAGTTTCTGTTAAGGCTGATGTGTTTTCACCAGGCTGGTGAGCCAGTGGACCATTAAAAGGTCAACCATCGTGAGATGGACATTGATTAGATGCTCAGTAAGGGCTAACTGTGGTCACTAGCTCCTGTCACACACACTCAATTGCAAGTACTCTGTCTCTCTCACACACACACACACACACACACACACACACACACACACACACACACACACACACACACACACACACACACACACACACACACACACACACAGGCCCTCATGAGGTTAAACGCCATTAAAGGCAGAGCACCTCGGCAGGCTCATTTTATGCAACAGGCTCAGTTCCCACTGGTGTAAAAAAGTTCACACCAGAAACAATCAGTCCCTGCATCAAAGAGTAATTTATCATCTGTTGCCATGGCCACCAGATCCATCAACAAGGTAATTAAGAATCCTGCAACTGGACACCACTCAACAACAGACCTCATCTAACCAAGTATATGAAATTCATACACAGATAGTCTGATTCTGTCCACGGGGCGAAAAACACTTGACTTTAGAACCATAACGCCTTAATCTGAATAAATTTGGAGTTCAAATACGGTACAGACACTAAAATAATTTTGGTGACATTTTTAAAAATAAAACTGACCCACAGAATGAGCAGAACAGGTAGCCTTATATTGTAACTGAAGGGACGTAGATTATGCTAATTGTGAAATCTCATAAACACACACCTCATGAACAGGTGGCATTCACCAGGCTGAGACACGGTATGCACGACAAGTTGGTGCAGTTAAGAGATTCAACTCGTATGAACAAACCTCACAGAGAAAAGTGTTTGAGGACAAGAATATAATGTGCTTGCATACGGCTATTTGGCTTTAGCAGGGGTGAATTAGAGTTCAAGCAGGCAGAGAGAGAAATTTTACTCAGAGCTGTGTCATTTATCTCCATTGGTTAACATGTGTGTTTGACTGAGGTGCGTGCGTGCGTGCGTGCGTGCGTGCGTGCGTGCGTGCGTGCGTGCGTGCGTGCATGCATGCGTGCGTGCTGCAATTCCTCTTCAGATAATGAATGAGGGGTCAGAACATGAAATGAAGTTATAAAAGCTGTCAGCTCTGGGCTCATCTCTATTCCAGCAGACATGTGTTCAGCCCTGGGCTGGTAATTACACTCTCCCCTCCTCTCCTCTCCCCTCCTCTCCTCTATCCATTTCCTATCATTATTCATGTTTTGATATCTATACATCTGTGAATCATCATCCCTTTCATGTCGATATTTAGTACCTACCTGTTATTCTCTTGTTTTTTTCTGTTACTTCTTTCCTCTCTCCATCTAACCTTTCATTTGTACCTCCCCCTCTACGCTCTATCAGCTCTAAATTGTCTGATCCTTCCGTGCAGCTTGACTCAATCTATTTTCCCCCTCACCCCCATGGTCAGACTCTCACAGAGACCAGCAGGACTAATGTTCCTCTCTGCTCCTGGTTATTTTAGCTGGGTTCAGGAGTTTTTGATGTTGATGCCACAGACAGAGGGATGTCTTTAAAACATGTGTACATTGACAGGACAAACACCTTCACATTTCTTCTCATTGAGGATCTGTGCATACCTTGTCTATCTCTGTCTATCAGAGGCTGTTTGCTATTTTTGCCCACCATGCAGCATCCTGTTCTCCTCCCTTTGCTTGTCCATGAGATAAATCCCACAGGTTTAAATTAGCATTTGGCCTGTAACTCCCCTGCATCTAAAACAGCAATAAGCCTCAAGCCAATGTACATAATGCCGAGTCTGTATTGATCCAAGTAAAGTATCTGCTTTATTATCAGGCCTCACACGGTTTCTTTTAGAGTTTGGAAATTTTGACTTAACCAGGGAATCCTCCATCATCTCTGAGCATCAGCTGAGATGACAGTTTCATGACAGAGTCCAACCACATCTTCACAACACTGAACCGAACGTTTCTCTGAGGGGAGAAATCTGTTTCGTTCGCTGCAACACATGAAAAATGATTTAACGCCTGAATCCCACATTGACAGAACACAGCCAAAAAACGTTTCTTTCCAAAAACTGAATCACAGTTTGCCACATATACAGGTGAGACTGTACCTTGTAAATGGAAGAACTCGACCCTGAATACCTCTCAGTCCTCTGTAGAGTCCAAAGAGAAGCCAATGATTTATATATTGCATTTAAGGTTAAATTATTTCTCCTTCCCGGAGCTGAATGTGTGAAGTTCCAGTAAGGCGTGAGGTGGTGAGGTCATCCGAGCTGTGATCAGGTTAGCAATGAAGGTGACACATCCACAGACAGACAGTGGGAACTCTGCCAGATAGCGACTGACACTCCAGCCACCTTTTACAGCTGGACCCAGCGGTGTGAACACGACGCCACCCTGATGTCTGTTCTGGCAGATGATGGGCATCAGCTGTCCTGCCTACACTAAGGCTACAGTAGAGGGTTTTGTCATACCTGTACTTTGCACTTTTGCATATTTGGATGCAGGATATTCTGACATTGGTGCCTATATTTGTTCATCAAGGGCTTTAAAATTGACCAGAACAATAATTTCTGCAGCGGATACATCAAATATCTCCACAACCGGCAATTTCCTCAACCATCCATTCAGTATCCATGAGTATCTGTGTTCCCACCCTGCTCCTTTGCTTAACCAGCGATTGGTCTCAGCCTCCATTATCGTGCTGAATGAAAAACGGCTTCATAGAGAATAACACATGAAGAGAGCCCATTAGTCTACAGGCTTCAGACCAGAGGAGGAAGGAGGATATGGTTTAATGGACAGCTCTCCTACTGAGCAGTAGAAAAAAAAAGAAAAAAAAAAAAAAAGGGTTTGTCCGTCTGTATGTCTGTCTGTCTCTGTCTCTTCCTGGTTCATTCAATATCAGATCACTGGCGGTCAGCTTCGGAAGCAAGCGTATTGATTTGAATTCATATCGTAAAAAAATAAAGTCAAGCTGGGAAATCTCATTTAGCGGTTTGAAAGGTTGAAGATGAAGTTTCATAGCTGGCATTTTGCTGGCAAATAAATATATAAACTGGCATCTGAGACAAGTTTAAAATATACGAGTGGCAAAGAAAAGTGCTTTCAAACGAGCTGTGTGGATAAATATCTGTGATGGAAAAGTGAAATACAAAGGGTGCATACTGAAGGGATGCTTTTATTGCTTGGGTGCTGTATCTTTGAACATGAACTCCTTTGTGATACGGCTTCTGAATCTGAATAATTGCAGGCTAATTGTGAAGCTGTCGGAGGGAGAGAGTGATTTGACTTTTAATGTAACCGCCCTCTTTAAATCTTGTTTCTGGTAGATATCAAATGGAGTATTTTTCTTTCTTCTTCTCCATTTTCTTCTTTTGCTATTTCTCCTTTCCTCTGGTCGGTCTCCTCTTTCTCTCTGGCCTCATGCCCACATATTAAATGCCATATTATGAGAGCAGAACCTTGTTTATCCGTGGCTGTGTCGGACAAACCTTTCCCATTTCCATTATAAAGCTCTAGGCACCGACAAGGAACCAAGGCCAACTTCTAGCATTTGCACTCAAGGTCACCTCTGCTTTCTCAGCACACACAACTCAATTCAAAAGCTCAAAAAGCCTGTGTGTTGTTGACATGCTTCTCTTATAGCAATACACAAATACTCTTGCTCTTCTGAGCTGAAATTTACTGCATTGTAATTGACCGAAGATGCATTTTTACATCAGCTCAGATCAAACCTCCTACCTGGGGCACATGACACAACAACATAGATATTTGAGTGTAGATATGATTGAGCGTCCCATGTCCTACCTCTATGTGTGGCATAGAGCGCGGCAAAGGTGACGACAAAGAAGGTGGTAGAATATTTCCCAGCATTCACCAGGTGAGGGAAGGCCCTCTTGGTGTCACGGTAACGCCTCAGGCATTGAATGAAGCGGAACCAGGCGGGCAGACACTGGATGATGGCGCGCAGACCGTAGGAGTAGCTGTGGCATATGTGGTCATCAGGGTCTAGAATAGAATAAAACAGTGCATGTTTATGTTAAAAACCTCTTTTTCTCTGCCTTTTCTCTGACATAATGTCCCCTCCACATTCTTCTTCTCGCAGCGAGGCTCATTATTATGAGAGTCACATGGCGACCTCGGAGAGGCCAAACATTTCCGATCCATTAGCTCCGTGTTAATTGGCTGCGTGGAGGCCGAAGTGTCACCGTTGGTGGAGTGGACGGACAGCAATTAAAACCTTATTCACATTGTATTTCCTGACAGGCCAGATCGGCTGTCTGGCACGCTGTCAACTTAGTCCAAAACATTTAGAACCAAATGGTTTGGGTCTTTATAATGACACGACATAGCAGGTGAGGAATAAACACTTATTGAAAATAAAGTAGTGCATGTATTCAAATATCTATAGCATCAATCTATTGTTTAGTGCATTCAAGGATTTTCTTTGTTTAAGTTTTGCAGTTGACTTTATATAGGTGTTCCAATTATTCAGAGGCCTAATCTACTGTATATCTGCTTCAGTTAGAATATTTTCCTTATAATTTCCCAGAGAGCAACAAACTCCTGAGAACAGGAATGAACTCTACTCCAGTAAATAAGAAACACTTACTCAGGATTATAAATATTGTGTGGTTGAACTATACGTATGGCTACCTATATCTATATAGAAATGAGAAAATTCATAGCCAAAAAACTAAGTGTACCCAGCTCTTTCACACCAATGTTGTATTTTTGTGTGTTTTTTCTATAGCTGGGTATAAACCTTCCCCTCCCTGGCTCCTGCTATGTTCCATCTGCTCACAGACAGAGGCAGAGAGAACATGCATTTTAAAATGTGGCCATTTTGAACACAGATTCATGTCTCACCTTTAATCTTGGGCAGCAGGCCCTTGCTGTTGCTCCACTGCAGCTCAAAGATGTAGTAGCAGATGAGATACTCCAGGTCCATCAGAACAACCACCAGAGAGTTGAGCTGATCAGCCAGCCAGAAGTCTGCAAACTCCACCCGATGAAACGGTGCTGTGAGCACGCGGAACTGGAAACAGACCACAGAGAAAAGATGGCAGGTGATAAAGTTAAGCTGCTATTTTATAACAATATTCATTCTTGTCTCAATGAGCTCAAAGTGCACTGACACATTCATTAGTATAAACTGGAAGAATGTATAAAAGCATCTAAGAAAAACATGCATTTCTCATTTTGTGTATGTGCTTTCAACACTGGGACGGAATTAGTCAATAATTAGTTGGTGTGAAATTGTCGCAGTTCATCAGTAGAGAAGTGCAAAGCAGTGCAAACCTCTATTAATGATCTGCATCACATGAAGGGATCATAACTTATCAGCACACCACAGGACAACCTAATGAGTCTGTGTGCATGTATCTGTTTATTTGTGTGTCACTACTAACTAGTGTACAAAACAAACGCATGATGTGGCTGGCAGGGATTTGTGGCATGCTTCGGCTTCTATGGGCATGTTATTTGGGATATGTTCTTTTGGCAGGAGCTCGTTTATTGACCGCGCTTTGTAAAATGATCCAACGCTGCTCGACTCTTTCCATTTACCCCCCCCCAGGCCACTTCTGACATTCAGGAGTGACTGTATGCCTCTCACTATGTACACTTTCAAACCCCCAAAAACACTCTCCCTCCACTGGAAATGTCAAAGAATATTGATCTTTTTTTTTTTTTTTACACATATCAGCTCATTAGATATTTTTCTTAACCTGTCAATCAAAGTCTGTATTGATCAAGTGGCCATCTCACCCATATCCACTCCGTCTGTGTGGATGTCTCAAGGCTGAGCCCTATGCAGTGATGTGGTTAGGTTTTCATTTCTTGAGCAAACACTAGTAATCCAGGTGCTAGATCTGCAGTTTGCCCTTTAATTACATCTTTGTCCTCTGGTGTTTATTGTCAGAGGAAATTAGCACATCTGGCATGGACACATTTTTATAGCACTGCTAGAAAAACAACAACAGATTGTTTGTTCCAAGAAAACTACAATTTCTCCTGAAACATCCTTAATCACTTATTGTGTATTCTAGGCGGTAACATGTCTGACAACCATGAAAAACAGCTCATATCAGCTCTAATACTGCATAGGTTGTTGTGATTACTGAGGACCAATCAAGACTGAGGCTGATTATGGAGCAGTTCAGTGGAGGAGGGCTGAGGGAGTGCTGCTGAGGACTGTGGGGAGCTGTGAAAGAAAGGAGACTAATATGAGGAGGGGGTATGCTGCTGCTGCTGGGGAGAAGTATGGAGGGAGGAGGAGGAGGGACAGAGGAGTTCAGGGCATCAGCATACTGATAGATCTATGCCTGTAATGATTGCACAGTCACAACCCTCCACCTCCCCTGGGACGAGGCTGCATTCTATTATCCCTCAAACCCTCTGCCCTCTGTTTCGCCACATCCCCCTCTAGACACACACACACACACACACACACACACACACACACACACACACACAATGGATAACGCAGTCAAAAAAAAAGACTCTTCACTTGTACGACAGTATGTAGGAGATTTCGCAAAAATCACAAATACATTTTTTTATTATATGCTGCAAAAATTCATGGCGATATTTTTTGTAACACTATGGATTTGTGTAATTATAGAGGTTTTGTTTAAATAACATTTGGTGAAGTTTTCTGTCAATATTTTGGGGGTTTTATAGTTTTTAAATATGATTTTGGTTAATTAAGGTATGAGTACAATAGCTGGTTAAGGTAACTTTTGGTGTTGTTGGTTTGTCTAAACGTATACATTTTTTGCAATTTTGTGTACATGCATACAAATAACTACACATTTTTCATTAAACCTGGCTCCTGCACTCTGTGCTGCAATTCAAGTTTATTCTGTGTCAATACCATAATCAATCCTCAGCCCATATGAGCCGCTGTCTCACATTGTCTCATCTTGTTCGCATTTGGTTCATTTTTTTTTAATGGTGGTCCTCTACAGAGTTACTTACTGCTGGCTCACAATTGTCAACATTAGTCTTTGTGTATCCATGAACCTGTACTGATTCATCCAGCTCAGATTTTCAGACGCTCCGAGTGAGTATTATTGGTGGCACCGAAGTTCAACGTCATCATTGTAATTCTTTCAAACTAAAATAGCAGAGGAGTAAAAGACAAGCTCCGATAAATAAATGTATAGACTGACCAGCAGCTTGAGAAGCCAGAATCGCGATTTGTAGTAGCAGGTCTTGAAGGGGTTGAAGAGGAAGAGCACCATGAAGCCATAGAGGATAAGCGGATTGATCTGCATGGGGATGTAGGTGTACTCCGAGTAGAGACAGGAGAGGATGCTGAGACACCACAACACACCCAGGAAACCAGCAATCTGCAGCACACAGGGGAGAAACAGAAGCAACTGGCATTAAAAGAAAGCACTTTTGACACATAATCTCATTTAACAAAGCAATCTGAATAATTCTGTGCCACTGATGTTGTGTTTTGTTACTCCATTGTATAAATGAAACCCTGTGGAAATTAGATATGTACCGTTTCTGCTGAATGAAAAAAAAAAATGTATTCCTTGAATTTGGATTACCCTGATGACTCAACAGCCCCATTCATTCCTATTGCATGTTGTAGAAATGCATGATCACTAATTCAATCTGAAAACAAAGTTGTTTCTTCATCACACAGAAAAAGTTTATTTTCTCTAATTCAGTAACATAAATAATTGATTCCATTTGACCTCAAACAGGTGTTGGTGTGAGAGGTTGTTTCGGGGGTTGATCTCGAAGATGAGGACATGGTTGACTCCGGCCTGCCTCCATCCGTAAGTGTTGATGCCCAACAGGAAGAGGAACTGGATCAACAGGAAACCGCCCCGATAGATCCGCACCAGTGGCCACACGTTCTCCAAGCGGATAAAAACAGCACCTGATGAAAACACAGTGGATTTTTTGCTTTTTAAAAGATAAAATATAAAACCCTTTACCGTCTGTTTGATAACGCATCTGAGGGAAAACAACAATAAAAACCTGCCGAACATGCTCCTTATTTATCTCAAACCATCTGCCAAAACTGCCAGTTATTTTACAGTGACACATTGTCGCAGGAAATTAAAAATGTATGAATCTGGATTTTAATGTGACTTACCGGTGAGAACGAAGGCGATGGCGAGAATGATAAAGAAGCCGCAGTAGAGTCCCACACGAAAGGTTGTCCAAGCCAAAGCAGGCTGAATCAGGCAGACGGGAATATAGAAAAAAAATTGAATAAATAATGTTAATAGTACTAATATGAGACACCTAACTACCGTGATATACATATTAACAAGCTCACAGATGCTAAATAGTGATATTTTGTATGTAAATACAACTTTTGAAATGAATGTCTCTCCATAAAAAACTCTGACTACTTTAATGTGCTTTAATATATTTATTATACACATGCCTGCAGGGGAAATGTAGTGATCAATAGTCACATAGCACAATTCAAGTCAGACATGACGGTAATTAATGCATTAATAACAGTTGATATAACATAGGGGGGTAAAGTGCCACTAGCCTCGATTATTTCTGAAAGATATCCTGTTCAACAATGGAAAGGCACTTATAAAATCAATACTAAAGGCTCTCATGGTTTCTCTCTCTTTGTAACTTCCCAGCTTCCTTCCTCTCAATTTCTTCCATAACAAACCGCTCACCTTTTGTTTTTAACCTTTAGTCACCACCAGCAAAAGATCTTACAGTAAGATGAATGCAAAGATTATTCTCGCCGAGATATTCTCAGGCATGGACACCACATTTGTATTCAGGTAATTTAATACTAGAGTAAGGGAAGTGGGGGGGGGGGGGGGGG